GAGCCATCATAAAGCGTAGTTCTTTTCTTGGACTCCAAAACCACAGCGGCGAGCGACTTGCTGGGTGCAGAAGCGCTCAAGCGAAGCGACAACGGTGAAGTGGCGATGATATGGCGGGAGCCACTTCCGACTTGGAACCCAAAATAGATCGAGGATCCCCGTGAGGTGTCAAGGTCTCTATCTCGGCTTAGATAGATAATGCAGCAGCCAAGGCACCAGAGAATCCTAAGCGGAGATGAGCATCGCCTTCTGCACGATAGATCCAATGAGATGGTTGAATGGCGGTAATGTGTTACAGAGTATGCATCCCAGTTACAGAGAACGCAACCTTGAACCAATCTGCTGTACGCACCTTAGGGGACATTTGCCCTATTGAGAGATGCATGTGCGCCCACGCCCACGCCCACGCCCACGGGGTTACCTAGGCAGTACCTAAGTACGGTCGCATGTGGTTACCCCACACCCCGGCATGATGCATGCGCCCGCTTCCGGTTCGCACCAGCGTGAGGGTTAGGTGCATACTATCAGCATAACGGAATATAAGTCATGAATGAGATGAGCTAACCCACATTAGGTATCTAGCTAGGCAGCTATCTAATCCCTGACTAACACAGGCAGCAGTCAGGATCGGCCATAACCCTTTGGCGACTTACACCAGCCAACCTACTCGATAGTATACCTATAAGTAGAGCTCAAGATCCCTTTGCCATGGCTAAAAGCCCCGTGCAACACAGCGACTCAAGTCATCCTCCAGCTTAGCCTTCCTATGCATAACCTTGCAAAGAATCGTTAGATGGGCAATTGTAAGTAAAACCGGTTGCAACTTGAGAGCTGCTGGATTCTGCGGTGTCAAGATGGCCGGCAAAACGGCCTGCCAGCACCGTGAGTTGCTGCAGGAGTGTTCGCCGTGGGCCGTAGAGGCTGGATTTGAGCGACCCGACGCTGTAAAAAGACTTGCCGCCGCAACAAAAACCGGCCGTAACCCTCTTTCAGCGGGAGGAAAGTCAGCCAAGATGGTCAAGAAGCTGAGCCAGGACGTGGCCGAACAGCTCTCCCCCTCGTTTCCCGGCCCCCTTCTGCTGCCCAAGGATGAGCTGAACTGGGATCCCGACTACCCACCCCAGTCGTTTCGATCCTGGCTTGTTGAGATTGAACGGAATAAGGTCACGTCAGAGCGCAACACTCTTTATGTTGCTGCACCGCCAATCGTCACACCCAGCGTCGCCTTCATGAAAACCTGGGCGCAACCCGCAACGGCGGCCCCCCGTAAGCTTGACAAACTCGATCCGCCATCGGCCAACGCCTCCCTGCAGTATCTCAGCGCATTCTACCATGGCCTTCCTGTGAAATTCCTGCCAGGACAGTTGCGCTTTGTGCCATGGACAGAGCCGCCGCAGCGTTCAAGGTTAAGAGGCCATCATGAATATGTTGGGCTTGCGCTCAATGACATATGCACCCGTGTTCGCACCCGAGAGGCTCCAGACCGCAAATTTAAAGGGCAATTAAACTTGAATGATGTCCTTGATGCGGCTATTGAGATGCTACCCGACGATGCGTACTCGGTAGTTTTGCTCATGGACTTCGACATGTACGAGGATGACGACGACGATTTCTGTTGTGGACGAGCTTACGGAGGGAGTCGTGTTTGCGTCGTCTCCTCAGCGCGTTATCACCCCGCCCTCGATGTGGATGAGAATATTGACCATGATCACATGTGACCAGCTTCGCACTGCAAAAAGTTCGCTGATAGCCTCTGCGCCGTGGAAGGACTCGAGCCAAAAGAACATATAAAATCGGTGCACGAGACTGTCGACTCACCACTACAACAGGCCGTCGCGGCAACCCGAAAAGTCTATACATCGTTAACTATTGAAGAGCAGAGTGGCTTATGGTTCTCACGCGTTGCTCGCACATTAGTTCATGAACTTGGGCACTGTTTCGGGATAGATCATTGTATCTATTACGCTTGTAACATGCAAGGTACCTCCGGCATCGCAGAAGATGTGCGGCAACCGCCATACCTATGCCCCATATGCTTGGAAAAGGTGGCTTACGCCATTGCTTGCGAACTCCAAGCGCGAGATCAAACAGGCAAAGAGGAATACATAAAGGAGAGATATAAAGCTACTGCTGAGTTCTGCGAGACTTGGAAGCACGTTGATCTCTTTGCTGCTTACAGTGCCTGGATACGGGCGCGACTCCAACAGCTCTCGGTCTAGACCGATGGAGAAAAGATCGGCCCAGCGCAGGATTTCCAATTACGGTTGACGTACCGGGCGGCACGTACCCGAGAGTACTCTATTTCTCGGCACTGCAACGCAATATTCACGGACAGGTAGGAGCAAGAGGCGCATATAATGCACGCGCTTGTCACAATTAGGAAATATCTTTTAGCTGGGTCTTTTCTTTTCTGTATCAAATAAGAACCCTTTTTACACTTTCGGGAATATTTGTGATAAATGGCCTACGCTATTGCTTGAAGCTTGTACCTATTGGTTTGGAGTACCGGTATAGGTATCTTCAACGACGGACAGTTATTCCATCATTGGAAACATACAAGCAATATGAGATGCCTGGGACACTCTAGGCCTCGCAAATACGCGTCTCTACGCGTGATGCTACTATAGTTGAGGGGGGCTACTGCGTAAAGACATGACTAACTGACCAGAAAAGGCAGCACCGAAGACGCCACACGCAATAAATGCAGGCCTGACCCGTAAATCTCTCGGCTCTCGTGTCTCGCTATCATTTGCGAGAGCGTTTCCTGAGCCCCTTTCTAGATCCTATGGAACTTACTTCCGCCGCACGGACCGCGCGTCTTAGTCTCATCAGCCAGTGAGCAAATTCGCTTGTTGGTCTGACTATACTTATCTTTCGTGATACTATCGTACGACCTCAAGAACCACCGGGAATTGTGACCGAAGAAAATGGAGAACGGGCAGCTTGACGGGTTCCCCGCCGGAGAGCCAAGAGCGAAGAACGGAGAGCTTACCGGCTCGACCACCGGACTCACGGCTGATGGACAGAAACGCTTTCAGTTATTTGTTGAGCAATGTCGTGATCACGGGCTCCTCAATCACCCTGCTGGCCTGTCCGCCGAGGATACGCTCGATGGCTTGAACGATGAGGTCACTCTATTGTACTGGAACCTCAACTTACCAATGCACCATAACCAAACACTAATGATTTTTTTCTAGGAGATTCCTCCGCGCTCGCGCGTTCGACGTGGCCGGAGCACTCCGACAGTTTCAGGAAGCCCAGGCAATCAGATGCTCCGTAAATACGACCGAAACCTACAACACTATTGACATTGACGACTTCGAGCATTTGCGTAGTATTGTATGCAGTCATAGTTCCCTTGTCTACCGAGTCCGGCCATCTTAACGCCTCGCCATATTCAGGCAAAGAAGACTAATAGCACTAGTATCCGCATTGGTCTGGTCATCGAACCAAACATGGCCTCCCAATATGCACTCTTGACGCGGCCAATCGTGAGTAGTTATCCCGTGTGTTTCAGGGATATCTAGAACCATAAATCGCCTTCTAGATCCAGCATCATGCTCGAAGATCTTCCTACTCTAGACATTTACAAGTTAGGCTTAATATGGTGGCTACTAACACAAGTGTTGCAGTGGACGGGCCACATTTTGCAAAATATCACAATTACACTCCGTCCCAAGTAACGTGCCGCGCAATCACATCTCTCGATTACTTAACACGTTTCGTGCTGCCTCTCTGCTCCACGATGACGGACCGACCTGATCCAGACCAACCAGTTTCCAGAGGGCTATATATTGTCGACATAACTTACATAAGCCTCAGGCAGGCGTGGAATCTACGAGGATATGCGCAGAGTATCACGGGGTTATTAGCGACATGTTACCCCGAGGTCGTAGACAAGATTTACGTTGTCAATGCTCCACCGTACTTTTCTAAGATTTGGGCTCTTCTAAAGGGCTGGATTGACCCGAACACGGCGAAGAAACTGGTGATAGTTCCACCCGCAGATGTTTTGACCACCCTCTTAGAAACGATCGATATCGAGTGTATACCAGAGCGGTACGGTGGACAGTCGAAGGCCGAGTATGGATTGGTGCCGCGTGTTGACGGCTTGAAAGACTTGGTGGGTGTCGAGGAATTGCCAGATGGGCCGATTAAATGGACTATTGACCAAGGGAACCGGACTGCCGTCGCGGTTGGCGCGAGGGGAGGGGAGGCTCGCAAGGAGTTTTTGGGTCCCGTCGGCGTCAAGCCGGTTTTGTGATGCATATAGATGGCGTTAGGATATTTTGGCAGGCTTTCATCGATAATCCGAGTTATACGTTGTCGTTTTACACCCCTAAGTGCAAAATCCCAGGTTTCTCTTAGTTGGATAAGTAAGCCCCTGTTAATACAGTGCCACTCCCTCTGAGTTACATCAACCCATAGACTACATCCATCTAACTGGGTACTATAATCAGCAAGAAGTGGTGCTCCTAATAAATATTTCTCAATTTTTAAAATCAATTTCCTAGGATCGTAAAGCTTTTTTACTCTGTCAGCGTTGCGTAGATCTCCTTGACACATTGTATTCGGTAGCTCACCATGCTGGTTTAAGTAAGCCCTGCACCCCACACCAACATCCCGACAAGCCGGGATTGCCCTCAACCCCTCCCCCAAAGGCGCATTTCACATATAAATAAACGGGTGAGTGCGATTATAACATAGCTTGAGAAACCGCATGTACTAGAAGAAGTGCATCTGTGCTTCCAGTGCCTATTAGTTACACATCACTCATCATACCAAGTGAGCAAAAGTTGTAACGTACGGAAGTGCCAAGAGTAGTTCTTAAAATCAATGGCATCCGCCCTGAGTATTCTCCTCAACACTTGCACACAATCTTTCACCAAATTGCGGGGAGCTCCGATTGTCTGGGGTCCAAGAACCCCGCCTAAAAGTCAAGGTGAGATGGCAGAAATCCCATTAACAACCAGATAAGAGAACAAAATAAACAAAATCAACTCTCGATCGGGGAATCGAACCCCGGCCACCTGCGATTTTTTCTGTGATACTGAATCATTGAATGACAAGCAGGTATCCTGACCACTAGACCAATCGAGAATGCGTGAATAAGTAATTCTTATTGGAAGCAGCCTGTAAGAGCCGTTATGCCAAAAACAGGGGTAAGGTGGGGATAGTTTTAGCTGAAAGACCGTTCTTTTAACGTTCCCTGCAACTAGTTGGATAAACAGCTTTCCGAAAGGTAACACAGTTGAGTAACATGAAAAGTATGAGCTGATAGTGAGCAGATTATCTGATTCATAACATACCTAACCTATCACAGAACGTTTCCAGCTGCTGTTGTGTTTTACAGAAAGTAGATACGTACGTCAGCGCTCCTAAGAGCCGAGCCCAGCGACGGAACCTACAGTTATCTCCGCTCGGAAGTCCGCGCTTTGCTTCGGGTGAGAGATCGTATGGATGGAGGTACGTAACTGAGCGTCAGAAACACAGCCGCTTCACCACATTATTACATGTGATGAATAGTTGGAGGTGATCTTATTGGTTTATCCGCCGATACTGTTTCCTGTATGGGTAGTGTTCCGAGCAGTAGAGTTGATGTTCCCAGGTACTTCGATTGGTGGCTCTATTCTATCGCGTGATGGGATCATCGATAGCATAGGGATAGCACTATGAGGGCTGGGTTCTGCATAGAAAGGGGTTGTAGTCGGGTAGATGATAATATACAGAGGCCGCATGCCTCAATATAAAAGCCAGGCGTTACCTCTCTCTTGGGAAACATGAGTTACTCACCAACTCCAAATACCGTCACTTACCCTTCTCCCTTTCGACCAACTAGCCCCTATTCCTTTCAAAATTGAACGAAATGGCCACCAATAATACTCGCCTCCAGGTAGCTATCGTGGGCTCCGGTATTGCCGGGCTAGCCGCGGCCCGTATTCTACGGGAGAAACACGAAGTCACCGTGTACGAGCGTGGGGAACCCTCCATCATAATCGGGGGTCAAGGCATTGCGAACTTTCCGAACTCGACGCACATCCTGAGTGATATGGGGTTCGACTATAAACGCGTAGGCTCCGTTGAGCTCGGGGGTTGGAGGACAGTCGACAAAGGTGGAAAGTACCTCCATAGCACGGAGTTCAATATGAGAGAACGATATGGCTCTCCTCTCGTGAGCCACATGCGTGTCGACGTTCGCACAGAACTCTTGAGACTGGCCACAGCCCCTCCTGAAGAATTAGGTCTTGATGCAACCGCGACCCCTACCAATATACTCTGGAATAATGGTGCTGTCGACCTGGACGCCGAAGCTGGGAGAATCACGTTAGAGGATGGCTCTACGGTTGAAGCAGATGTTGTTATAGGTAAGTGGGAGTCCAATTATTTTTCTCCCTATAACACACAATGGGCCAAGATCTAACGCGAAGCTATAGTTGCTGATGGCATCCATTCCCGACTGCGGAACACGATACTAGATGAACCCATCAATGCTCTAAAGACAGGGTTAACGTGTTGCCGCGTCGCCGTATCAGCAGAAGAGGCTGAGAAGGCCCTTGGACGGCTACCGCAGTGGTGGGAGGACCAGCGTAGGGCAGGGCAAGGCCACATGCATCTCGTCGAGGCACTAGATGGTACCTCGCGACTAATGGTAGCGTATCCGCTTCGCGACTGCGCTTGGATGAACATGGCATGGGTATTCCAGACCCAAAAGGAGAGGGAGAGCACGACTCAATCGTGGAATGCAGATGGTGATCGCGACGAAATACTGGAGATTTACGACGATTTCAGTCATGAGCTCAAAACATTGCTACGGTGGGTAGTTGAGAATGTGTTTACCTAGAAATTCTATCTACTAATGAAACTTAGGGTCGCCGCTGAAGTTAAGCTGTGGGAGCTCCAGGATCTTGAGCCCTTGCCGACCTGGACCTCCGGACGCGCGATCCTGATCGGCGACGCTGCCCACGCGATGACACCTCTACAAGGCCAAGGTAACACTTCCTATGGCGCGAAATTCGATATGATACTGACTTGAAGGTGAATAGGGTCTAATATGGCGATCGAAGACGCCGATGGTCTTCGTCTACTTATACAACCCGGTGTCACGCGGGATAGTGTGCCCGAAGTACTCAGGAAGATTGAGAGTGTTAGGAGACCACGTGCCACGAGAGTGCTCATGAACACACGCTCCACGTCCAAGATTTCGAGTGCGGCCGATAGATATGCGAAATTTGACGAGAATTGCAATTATCCTGGCATATTGAATGTTCTTCAGCAACAAGCCACGGAAGCGTGAGGGCCACCGAACATGCCGGAAGCGCTACTCGCAATCATAAGAAATGAAAATTATTTGGATTGTCGATATTAGATCGCCTCGTGTTGGTAAAATACTCATCGTCTTCATTACTATTCAGTTCCGGGAAAGAGACCGCAATTTCTTTACCTTTTTTTTTATAGAATCTAGGGCATAAAATCAGCTAAAATTATACATATTTTCCTCGTGCTTTCTACCTTTCTTCTATGAAATCAAATTCTTGGAAGGAGTTCTTACGATAGATAGACGAGATAGGTCACTCAAGGCTTGACGGGTCATAAATCCGGCACGGCCCGTGTTTAGGGTATCTCTAGCGGGTGACCAAGTGTGTGCGCCAGTGGCGGATCACGATCAATGGAATGATGATGCTTCGACTGCTCAAACACACTTACAGCTGATTAGCTGATTAATATCCCTCTAATCGAATGTATTATCATACAGTAGTTAAAGAATATGTCACACCCACTAGCGACTTGGTCTTCAACGGCTAAAGATCTGACAGTGGTTGTTCCAATTGAGTCAAGAACCGAGCTAACGAATGCCCTTCCTATCAGCTGCTGATTAATCAGACACAGATAAAGTCGATTTGCATTATATAGGTACATAGGATTTCCCCCCTTTTGCCTTGATGTACGCGGCATCTTTGAATACCCCTCTGCACTCATGGGCTAGACTGACCGCAGCTATAAACAATCACGAACGAGGTAATTAGGCAATAAATCACCAAGCTCATGACCATAATGATCATAATGATATACAGAGCTACTACTTTCAAAGGGTTTGACCCACATTATGGAGAATGAGATAACCATGCCGCGAAGCTTGCGGCCCAGTATGACGGGATCTGATAACACAATTGATGTCATTCCATTCACGCCAATTATCTCATCGATCAGGTATACTAACACTATGCCTACTAGTATTTCCAAGTACAGATCTTGCTTTGGATATATAAGACAAACAGGGAAATTTGGCCTCTCTCCATTATGTATTTATTTCTGTCAATCTTCATCCCTTAACTTCACGCTATAGTTAACACTTGAGAAGCTATCTTATAATAATAATCATGAGTGATGCTGCTTACGTCGTCTTGCCTATTCGGGCTGACGGTTCTCCTCAACAACAACAAGATCCCAATGAAGGTGAATTAAGTTCGTGAAGTATACATGATCGCAGCTCACATCCATCGTGTTCAGTTGCTACTACTATCGAGGAATCACTGAACCAGAAGCTACATCCAGAGGTCCATCAAGATCCAGAACCAGTGACCGTAGAAAAGGGGCCTCTGAAAAAAGCCATGGGTATGACAATACCTGAACTAGAGAATATCGACACGGTACTAACCCGATATCAGCACATTCCGATAGCCTTTATAAGTACATTTCTGTGAGTTGCACTCCCCAAGATAAGTCGTAGCCACGGATCTCCGCTATTAACATATCCTGAAGTGGGAGGATCCAGTTCGTACCCTCGCATCCTATTTCGGACTCCTTACACTCCTGTACGGGATACACTACTTGCGTTGTACTCAGCTTCTCTTGAAGATGGGTGCAACCGCCCTTGGAGGTACGTAATAATATTCAAGTGGACAATAGAGGCCAAATTCTAACGTTGGTTTGTTAGTGGTATCTTTCACCTCCCTCGTTAGCCACTCGACCAAAAATAACTTCATCGCCCGTATGCGACCTGAGTACAAGGAAGTTCCCGAGTCGACTCTCAACGCCACGCTCAGCGACATCCACGACCTCGTCCAGTATCTCGTACTTGAAGCCCAGAAAATCATGTACGGAGAGGATGTAGGAAAGACTTTTGGTGTAAGTATCTGTCTAATTGGTTCGTATCAAGTGGATAGGCTAATGGAAGAACAGGCTTTTGTCAGCTTCACAACTTTGTTCTGGCTGATCAAGATCCTCTCCCCATTCAATCTTGAAATCCTGGGGCTAAGCTCAATCTACATTATTCCCCTCCTCTTTTCACCAGGCGGTCGTGAGATGGCTCAGAATGCGAAATCTCGCGCTCGGGAGCTGGCCCATACGACAGCCGAGAGTGCCGGGGTCGCTGTTCGTGACGGTAAAGCTAAGGCAACGGATCTATCGAATAAGACGCAACAGGCTGCCGGGGATTTGACATCAAGAACTCAACAGTACGCACTCCATTGTCATTCACTTCCCGTTATGGTAAAACCAGCACTCGTTCACGTTTACGTGTGCTTTTCTAAACAACCCCCTCCCCCCCCTCCCTTTAAATAGTTAGATTATTACTCTAAGTGCTAAGTTCTAATATCGTGTTACTTTCATAGAACTGCGTCAAATATTTCGTCTAATGCGCAGCAAGCCGCTTCAGACTTAGTATCCAATACACAACAAGGCGGGGGGATAGCTGCGGCGAAAACTCAGGAGACAGCCTCAAGTTTGTCGTCTTCAGCACAACAGGTTACTGGAAATGTCGCGTCAAGAACTCGACAAACCGCCTCGAACCTACCATCCGATACATCAAAGGTTACTGGGCTTTTGTCGTCCAAAACATAACAGAAACAGACCTCCACAGGTATATCGCGTAAGATGGAAACGATAACTGAAACCCGGTATAGTTTCTACTGTAAGGTCTTTAGAAATATGCTGGAATGGTGCTCTTATGTAAATCCGAAAGAAATCGAGCAACACCAATATCCTCTAATCCGCTCTCCCTTCTTATATCTATGGAAATGGCGTCAAAAAGCATTCTTAACTAATATGGTTGACGTACGGGAAAAAGAAAAGGACAAACGGCCCAGGAAAAGATTCACGGT